TGCTAGTGATCCTGGGAAAGCAGAGGAAGATGGCCAAAGATCTTGGACCCCTGCATCTATGTGGGAGACCCAGATGGAGCTCCAGGCTCCTGGCTTTGGCCTGGCCCAACCCCAGCCATTGCAGCCATTTGGATAGTGAATCAGAGGATGGAAGATTCTCTCTCCCTCTCTCTCTCTCACTCTTTCTCTCTCTCTCTCTCTCTCTCCATAACTCTGCCTCTCAAATAAATAAAATAAATCTTTTAAGAAAAGAAAGAAGCAGGCATCATGGCACAACAGGTCAAGTTGCCGCTTGGGACAAACTGCATCCCGTACTGGAAGACCTGAGTTTGAGTTCCAGCTCCTCTGCTCCCAATCCAGCTTCCTGCTAGCGCATCTGGGAAGCAGCAGATGATGGTTCAAGTACGTGGGTCCCTACCGACCATATGAGAGACTCAGATGGCGTTCCGGCCTCCTGGCTTCAGGCTGGCCCAGCCCCAGCTGTTACGGGCATCTGGGGAATGAACCAGCAGATGAAAAGTGTCTCTTTCTCACCATTTCTATTCCTCTCTCTGTCACTCTGCCTTTCAAATAAATGAAACCTTTTCAAAAAGAAACACGCACATCGGAAAAAAGAAGACCCACATATCCTGTTGGACTCCATTCCCCTCACCCTACTTCTTTCCCAGTGTGCCCTAATCTGGCTTCTGCACCCACGTTTCCCCAGTACTTGCCCCCACCTTGGTCACCTGCAACTTCTCAGGTGCTCTTGGCCTTTCAGTCCTTGACTTACTGGAAGCACTAAGCGGTATGGACAATGTCTCCGAGCTCTGTACCCACTGCTTGGCTCCCTCCTCTGGAACTGTGTGAGTTTCTCTTCCTTTGCCATCACGCATCCTTCCCCGAGGCACCCCTGGCTGCCCGCGTGCTGGGGAAGCCAAATCTGCCTTCTCGTGGACCTCCCCCGCCCACCATCGTCCCTAAGCCCCGGATCTCCTGCACACCATGCCTCCTCCTCCGCTCTTCAACAGTGGTCCCCACGCATTACTCAACAACCCCAACCAGAGAACCGCTCTCGCCCCGGCCTCTCCCAGCCCTCTCCTCCTGCCTCTAGACACAAGTCTTCACTCCCTTCCTCCAGAGCCAGCCTAGAACCCAACCCTGTCCCTCCACCTCCACGCCGCCAGCCTCGTCTGTCACCTGCCACCTGGACCCCTGCTCAGCATGCTGACTCAACTCCCTGCATGTGCTCCTGCTCCCGGCAATCTAGAAGGGCCTAGACTAGAACTTCATCACGTGCAACCCCCTTGATTTGCCGCAGTCTTCAGGGCAAAGTCAGAGCAGGTTCATCTGGCATTCAGCCCAGTGGGTCACTTCCTCTTTCTTAAAATAAGACCTTCGTTTGGCTTCCAAAACACCACTCCCTAACTCTCCCTTCTAACTAACTAGCTAGCTAGCTAACTAACTAACTAGCTCTCCCTTCTCATTCTTCTTTGTCAGATTCTTGAAACCACCCGACCTCTGGGTAATATTAAGTGCGTCCGGGCTCCGTCCTTAGTCCCTTTTCTCTCCGTGTTCTGTACTCACTTCCTGGGTGATCTCATTCTGCCTCATGACCTTAAAAATATCTCTGCACCGGTGGGTGTTTGGCATAGCAGTTAAGTCACTACTTGGGAAGCCGGCTTTCCGTATCAGCTCCAGCGTCCCTTCTGATACAGCTTCCTGCTAACGTGCACCCTGCGGGGCAGCAGGGATGGCTCAAGTGCCTGGGCCCCTGCCACCCGCATGGGAGACCTGGATGGGGTTCCTGGCTCCAGGCTTCAGCATAGCCCCTGTCGGGGTGGTGCACCTGGGGAGTGAACCAGCAGATGGAAGCTCTCTCTGCCTTTCAAATAAATTCTTTCTGTCTCCTCTTCAAGCAGGTTTTCCCTAACTACTTTATGTAAGACTGAGCACCTAAAATGCCACACAGACACACACACACATGCACACACACGTGCACATACACACACTCTCTTAACCCTTTCCATGCTTTATTTCCCCACTTCACACTTAACCCCATCTCACTTCCTTTATTTATCTCCTTTTCCTTGTATCTCCTGTGTATTTTCTGTCTCCACCACCAGAATGGAAGCTCTCTGCCAGTCACGTTCGTGTCTGTTCACTGCTGTATACCCAGTGCCTGCCTGGCACACAATAGATACTCAAAAGTATTGGCTGGTGCTGGCATTGTGGTGCCGGGGTTAAGCTTCCGCCTGCAACTCTGGTGGTGTCCCATTTTGAAGTCCCCGCTGCTAATGTGCCTGGGAGAGCAGTGGAAGACGGAGCAGGTGCTTGAGCCCCTGGCTTGTGGGAGGTAAAGATGGAGTTCCAGGTTCCAGTCTTCTGCCTAACCCAGCCCCGGCCGTTGTGGTCATTTGGAGTGGGTGGGGAGGATGGCAAAGCTCTTTCTGTCTCTCCCACTCTGTCACTCTGCTTTTTATTTTTTTATTTTTATTTTTTTTATTTGACAGTTAGAGTTAGATAGTGAGAGAGAGACAGAAAGGTCTTCCCTCCGTTGGTTCACCCCCCAAATGGCTGCTACAGCCAGAGCTACACCAATCTGAAGCAAGGAGCCAGGTGCTTCCTCCTGGTCTCCCATGGGGTGCAGGGCCCAAGCACCTGGGCCATCCTCCACTGCCTTCCCAGGCCACAGCAGAGAGCTGGCCTGGAAGAGGGGCAACCGGGACTAGAACTTGGCACCCATATGGGATGCTGGCTCCGCAGGCGGAGGATTAACCAAGTGAGCCACAGTGCTGACCCAATGTCACTCTGCTTTTTAAATAAATAAAACAAGATTTTTTTAAAGAAAGGATTGTTTGTTGGGGTGGGCACTGTGGCATGGTGGGTTAACTTGCCACTTACAACACAGGCCTGCTGTATCAGAGTGCCTGGTTCAAATCCCAGCTACTCTGCTTCCAACCCAGTTTCCTGTTGGTGCATCTGGGAGTCACCAGACAATGCACCAAGTGCTTGGGCTCCTGCCACCCACATGGGTGTCCCAGTTGGAATTCCTGGCTCCTTGCTCCTGGCTCCTGGCTTCAGCCTGAACCAGTCCTGCCTGCTGTGGTCATTTGGAGAATAAACAATCCTGTGGGGGCTGGCACTGTGACACAGTGGATTAACGCCCTGGCCTGAAGTGCCGGCATCCCATGTGGGTGCCGGTTCTAGTCTCGGCTGCTCCACTTCTGATCCAGCTCTCTGCTAAGGCCTGGGATAGCAGTAGAAGATGGCCCAAGTCCTTGGGCCCTGCACCAGCGTGAGAGACCCAGAAGAAGCTCCTGGCTTCGGCGCAGCTCCAGCCATTGCGGCCAATTGGGGAGTGAATCATCGGATGGAAGACCTCTCTCTCTCTCTCTCTCTCTGCCTCTCCTCTCTATGTGTAACTCTGACTCTCAAGTAAAAAATAAATAAATCTTTTTTTAAAAAAATCCTGTGGAAGATCTCCCTCTACTTCCCATCACTCTGCCTTTCAAATAAAAACATTAAATTTAAACAATTTTTTTGAATGAATGAATGAATATATGCATGAATGAATGGAAAAACGAGTAGATGGATAGCCGGCGCCGTGGCTCACTAGGCTAATCCTCTGCCTGCGGCACCGGCACACCGGGTTCTAGTCCCAGTCAGGGCGCTGGATTCTGTCCCGGTTGCCCCTCTTCCAGGCCAGCTCTCTGCTGTGGCCAGGGAGTGCAGTGGAGGATGGCCCAGGTCCTTGGGCCCTGCACCCCATGGGAGACCAGGAGAAGCACCTGGCTCCTGGCTTTGGATCAGCGCGGTGTGCCGGCCGCGGCGCGCCAGCCGCGGCGGCCATTAGAGGGTGAACCAACGGCAAAGGAAGACCTTTCTCTCTGTCTCTCTCTCTCACTGTCCGCTCTGCCTGTCAAAAAAATAAATAAATAAAAAATGAGTAGATGGTACTCCAAGATCCAACCCTCCCCCATGCCGCCCCCCCCCCCCATCCGCTGGTCAGGTACACTTTTCACCTCTCCCCTCTCCGCACCCCACCTCCATGCAAAGCCTTTGTTACCCGAGTGCCTGACGCAGAACAAGATGGTTCGTACTTCTTGGGTTTCCCCTTGCCATGCCCTCTTACCCCTGGCAGGCTTCCTAGTCTCTGAGACGCAACTCAGGTCACCCGAAAGAAATGTCTCTGCCCGGCTTCCCGCCAGGTTTCTGTGCCCCCGCCCCGCCCCGCCTCCACATCCCACTGGACTCTCAGAATCTCTTCTGGTTTTGTCTCCCTGACTCCTTGGGAGGGGGAGGGGGGGGGTTGGGACTGGAACCTCATCATGTTGTCTTCGCACAATGTCTGGAATCCAGCAGGCACTCAATATCAATAAATGCTTAATGCCTGAACAACAGTATTTGCATCCATTGAATGCTTTCTCTGCTCACTGTTTTCATGCTCTGGTCCATAAAAGAGCCTCGTGGGGTCAGTTTTAGTATTAATCCCCGCTTTACACATAAAGAAGGGAAGGGTCTTAGAGGAGGAGAGTCTGGAAAAGGCCCCCTGGGGTTCAAAGTCTGTTCTGTGGGGTCTGGCGTCATTCCTTAGCCCGATCATGCTCCTGAGCCTCAGTTTCCCTACGATAGGTTGGGGCAGTTCATTTGATACCGTTCAACCCCAGCCTCCTGCAGAGGTCACCTCCTGTAAGGTCAAACTCAAGCCAATTTCAGTTTCCCAACGTCATCAAAAGAAAACTCTAAAAGTTGAGAATCGAAACTGAGAGCAGAGAAGTTGGCTGGATGCCAGCTCTGTTAAGGTGGCCCAGACCTGCCAGTCTCAGCCTGGTGTCCCTCAGCACACCTGTCAGGACGAGGAGGGTCCCCAAAACGGGGAATCCTATAGCAGCCCAGTCACCTCTGGATTCCTCTTTGTTCTGGTCCTTTATCCCACAGGGTGCTGAAGACCAGCCAAGAAGGAGCCCCCTTAAGGAAGGGGGCGTGTGCCGGACAGAAGGTGGCCACTTGGCTATATATTTGCCCAGCAATGGTACTCTCCACACAGAGATGGCATTGGCTCAGGGTCTGTATGGCATTCCAAGCTGCAGGCTGGACTCCTTCGTGGTTCGGTGGCTGCAGCCCAGCCGGAAGTGGAAAGAAGAGGTGCTGGAAGCCGTGGCCGGCGTGGAGAAGTTCCTGAGGCAGGAGTCCTTCCATGGGGAGCACCAGCTGCAGGACCAGGAGGTGCGGGTTCTGAAGGTGGTCAAGGTGAGGCTGGGCTCCTCCCTTCCCCGAGGGTAAAACCCGGTGTGAAAGTCCCTTACCCCGAACCCACACTGCCAACCTCTCAGGACACCCTGCCCAGCCTGCCTCCGACCCGGGGCAGCACAGCTCCCCAGAGCAAGTGCGCAGGCGCAAGGGGCCCGCCAGGGTACAGTGGTCTAATCCCTTAACCATGGAGGATCGCTAGTTCTTGCACCTGTGAGGTAGGCTTGATCCTTTTCCCGTTACAGAGATGAGCAAAATGGAGCAAATGCAATGCAAAGCCTTTGATGGGACCCAGAGTTTGGGGCTAATCGGGGAAATTTTAATGTAGCCTGGACATTAACATGAGAGAATCATGGTTGGTTTTGCTGGGTACATTCATAGCTTGTGGTTAGGGAGGGCCATGTGCTTTTTTTAAAGGTACAACTGTTAAAGTACTTAGGAGCAGAATTCCTTGCTGTCTGTAATTTGTTTTAAAGTGGTTTAGACCAAGTAGACGTGGAACTTACTAAATCTAGCAAGTTATCTGGAGTGTTCGTGCATTTTCTACTTTTCTGTGTCTTTTAAACGACTGATAAGATTTTTAGCAGAGGATCAGAGAGGGGAGGTGACTTGCCCAAGGCCACACAGTCTGTGATAGAGCTGAGATTTGAAGCTGCCTCCGCAGCCAGGGCTCCAGGCTCCTCCACTGAGACTTTTCTCCCAGGTCTTTCCTCCGACGGCCTCGGGCTGCTTCCAGTGCCAGCCAGGACCAAAGCTCAAGAGGGTCAGAGCTAGAAAGGCCCTGGAGAATCAGACCATCTAGGCCAATTCCTCGTTTAAACATGAAGGAAACTGAGGCACAGAGACGGTGACAGAAATCCTAAAATCACACAGCAAGCTGGTAGCAAAGGCAAGGCTAGAATCCTGACTCCCAGCTAGTGCTCTAGTGCTCTCTCGCTCTCTCTCTCTCTCTCTCTCTCTCTCTCTCGGATTTAGAGACCTCTGGCCCCCATCCCTTCTCATATTGGTCCCCAGCATCCAGAGCTTGGGACCGTAGGATTCAGAAAGGAGAAACCACAGTTGTGACATCAGTTTGACTCTTGACTTCTTCCCTGAAGCAGCTCTGTGACCGTGACGTCACTGAGTTCTCTGCAAAGCCTCAGTCTTCTCATCTGTAAGCAGGGCACCATCACTCTCTTTCCCTCACCAAGCACACGGGGCCATGCAGGCTGAGTGCTTAGTGCGGGGTCCGTGCTCAGAGGCAGAGGAATTGTCCTCGTTCTTGCCCGGGCTCTCTTCTGGACCTGGCCCAGGCAGACCCTCTAAGACACCACCACCGCCTCTTGCCAAGGAGGTGGGATGGCGGAAGTCTGGGGAGAAGAGAAGGCTCCAAAGCGAATGAATTTTGGTGGCAGGAATTGGTGTGGACCCAATTCCCCCTACAGACCACAGCCACATCTCCCCCCTTGAAACCGTGAACGGTAAAGAAACCCAAGGAGCAACGGCCCATGAGCAATCCTGCGTTTGATTCAGACTCGAAACCTTCCCTTTCTCTGGCCCCTAAAAACCTGGTGAGCTGGGTTGGGCCACCTGAGCACATGAATGGGGCTTCGGTAGGGCCACACCAAAGCAAGCCACAAAGCCTGTTCTGGGTTATTCTCCTCTCTGCTGGGGAAGCAGCCGACCTGCGTGGCTGTCAGGCGGATGCTCACGCGGGGCAGAAATGCTGAATCTGCATGCCAGTGGGAGAAGGGAATAGAACAGGGAGAGGGGGAAGATCGTGGACTCCCCCTCCCTCCTCCAAAGCAGGGCGTGGCTGTGGACTTGGGCCACGGGGAGGAAAGAGGTGGAAGATCCGCCCACTGCTGTATTCTCCTCGTCATCTGACCCCGCTGCTTTCTGGCTGGGAGACCTCAGCAAGCAGATGAAGCTCCTGCTGCCTCAGTATTTTCCTCTGTACATTGGGCATGATGATCGCAGTGCCCATCTCAACCAGTGGGTATGAGGATTGAAAGGGATCCTATACAGAAAGGGTGCTCAGGGGGCCAGGCCCCGGGGAAACCCAACCTCTGGCAGCTGAACCACAGTTCTTGTGCAGTGACTCCTCCCAGCAGGCGAGGGAGCTCACCTGACCTCTGATGCTTCCCCACACGGAGTGAGAAAGAGCGGAGGGAGGCCACAGCGTTGTGGGGCTTTGCAGCAACAGGCCCTGGCAAGCAAATCTCAGAACAGCGAAAAGCCCACTTGAAAACCACCCAGCTCAGCGTTTTCCGCTACAGATGGGGACCCTGATGCCCAGGCCACAGAAGGGTTCGTGCAGTTAGCTAGTAGGAGAGGAGGAAGAGGAATAGGTTACTGCTGACTTCCTGTGTGCCAGGCCCCACGCCCAGCCCCGGACATGCACTGCTCCTCCCAGGAGCCCAGTGACTCATGTTCCATTGCTACGCTCATTCTGCAGACGAAGGACTTGGGGCTCTTGAGTAGCCAGAATTAAGGTCAGAACCAAGGTCAAAGTCAGGAGACCCCAAGCCCAGCCCATGGCTTTGATCTACCATGCAAAACTTCTCCCTCTTTTTTTTTAAGATTTATTTATTTATTTGAAAGGCAGAGTCACAGAGAGGCAGAGAGAGAGAGAAAGAGAGACATCTTCCATCTGCTGGTTCACTCCCCAGATGGCCTCAATGGCCAGAGCTGAGCAGATCTGAAGCCAGGAGCTTCTTCCGGGTCTCCCATAGGTGAGGGTCCCAAGTATTGGGCCATCTTCTACTGCTTTCCCAGGCCATAGCAGTGAGCCAGATCAGAAGTAGAGCAGCGGGGACTCAAACTGGTGCCCATATGGGATGCCAGCACTGCAAAAGGTGGCTTTACCCCATATGCCACAGCGCTGGCCTCCTCTCTCTTTTTAACTCCTTCAAATGATTCAGATCCCCTGAGACTTTCAAATGCAACGAGGTGGATGTTCCCAGAGGATTCCTTTGGGTTAGGAATTCCTCTGGGATTGGGAAGACAGTGTGAGAAAGCAGACCATGCAGTAGATAAGCCGGGCAGGTGACCCCTGCTCTGACATGAGGTTTCTCACCTGCAAAGTGGGGGTGTTGGTTGAGCCCATCCCTCCCTCGGTGTGGCCGTGCACATGCCACGGGACCATCTGTGGGATGTGTTGTTGTGGGCGGCCTGGCCCATGGCAGAGGGCCACGGGGTAACAGGCTCTGTGTCCACAGGTGGGCCCCTTCGGGACCGGCACGGCGCTCAGGGGCACTGCCGAAGTGGAGCTGGTGGTGTTCCTGAGCTGTTTCCGCAACTTCCGAGAGGAGGCCAAGCACCATGCAGCGGTTCTGAGACTGATACAGACGAAAATGTGGCATTGCCAGGAACTGCTGGCCCTAGGGCTCAGGGACCTGAGGGTGGACGAGGGAGTCCCCGAAGCTCTCACCTTCACCATCCAGACCAGGGAGACGGCAGAGCCCATCACCGTCACCATTGTGCCCGCCTACAGGGCCCTGGGTAAGGGGAGGTGAAGCCCACCCCACTCACACACCTGCCAGTTCCAGGAGACTTGTCACTCCCTCACCTCTTATTCATGGCCACGTGCCAACCTCTGCGTTCATTCTACCCAGGTCCTGGGATGACGGGGCCTGGGCAAGCACAGGGTACAGGACTAACCCACTCTGGCCATCATCTAGCTCAGCCTAGCAGACAGAAGCTTACCAAAGACTCACACAGATGAATGCAGGACCACAGATCAACGGTGGTATGTGTTCAGAGAAGAATGAGGTGCCCCAGAAAGTATGTTTCAAAAGGGGCTTTCTGCGGGAAATACATCCTGGAATATCCAAGATGACAGTGAGATGAAGGAGCTAAACAGTATCAGCGAGTGCTTCTCACCATGTAGCTCTCACTGTGGGCCTGACCCTGAGGCAAGGATGTGAGTTCAAGTGCTTTCCTGGGGAGGTGATTCCGAAAACAATGGCTGAAAAGTAAGGAATTAGGACAGGGAAGTCAGTACAAGAAGCATTACTCCACTCTGGAGTCTGGGCTCCGTGTCCCCAGAGAACCGAGTGCCACCAGGGAGTGGCCTCCAGGTCCTCCTTGGTAGGATCCAGGGAGCTGATCTACTCACTACTCGGTAGTCGCATGTGAGGGCTGCTTCCCTGGGTGTGGACCCATGGGCACCCATCTATGCTAGGGCAGAGTGTCCTAGGAGTTTGTTGTGCTCTGAAGCAGCTCCCAGGCAGATGATACAGGCTGTAGCTCACATGCAGGCTCCTGTTCACTGCCGTGGCTGCCAGAGCTGCTGCATCGGGAAAGTGCAGGAGATGAGATCTGGTCTCAGGCAGAAAGTGCAAGCTCTGGGAGGCGTCCAGGGAACAGGTTCACCCCCAGGACAACCGAGAGAGCCTGGGGTTGTTGTTCAGTGGCCTAAGGCCAATCTCCCAAGAAGGACAAAGCAAAGCAAACCTTTGGTTTCTGGGAACACCAGGTCTCGAGGCTCCCTGAGGAGAGAACCCCAGTGAAGGAGCCAGCTCTGTCCCTAAGGCAGCTTACTGCCTGGGGCGTCCTGCACCCCTAACCTCTGCCTTCTGCTTCCTGTCCCCTCCAGGTCCCTCTGTTCCCAACTCCCTGCCACCCCCCGAGGTCTACGTGAGTCTGATCAAGGCCTGTGGCCACCCTGGAATCTTCTCCCCCTCCTTCAGCGAGCTGCAGAGGGACTTCGTGAAACACCAGCCAACCAAGCTGAAAAGTCTCCTGCGGCTGGTGAAGCACTGGTACCAGCAGGTGAGGGCTGCCTGGAGGCGGCAGACCAGGCAGAACGGGCAGGCGCTAGGCTTGCCTGGCAGGAAACTGTAGCAAGAGGGAAGCAGGATCAGGGGGAGAGGGAGAGGAGCCAAGGTTCCAAACAGGGAAGCGGACCACTCAATGAAGAAAGCGGAGAGGGAAAAGAGGAAGAAAGAGAGAGGGAAACAGAGAAGGAAAGAGAACAGCAGGTGATGCACAGCACTGCCGTGACCGCACCCTTATGGCGCTCCAGTTGCTGGCCACTGCCCTGGAGACCGGAATCACGGCAGGTGAGGGAACCAGTTCCCCTCCCAGGGAGCACTACTGAGTGAGGGTGTCCACAGTAGCCCCTTTCCAGGCGTCTCGTGGGAGGCATGGTGCCAAGCGTATTTCAACATATCCAGGAGAGCAGAGTCAGCCGAACTTCTGAACGGAAGACGCAAATACAAGCACATTAACCCCGGCCACGAATTCTCCCCTTTCTCATCTTCTGGTTAAAATCAGCTTTCATGAGAGCAGCTACTTCCAGAAGACTCTGGGGAAACTGTGACTCCACCCCGCACGGATGTCCTAGCGTGGGGTGGAGAGAAAGAGAGCTGCCCATTGGATCATTCCCTTGGGAAAAGCTTTTTCCCTATATACTCAGCAAGAAAACAAGCAAAACTCAGAAAAACTCAGCAAAAGCACTTTTGCTTTTACAGCTTTGATTATGGGACAAAAATAAACACAGCAGGAAGAAACCTACTGGACACCTCCTGATCTTACAGGGCTGCTGTCCAGGAGTTGTGTAGACACTCTCTCTCTCTCTCTCTCTCTCTCTCTCTCTCTCTCTCTCTTTCGAGAGAGCAGCAGCAGGCAGGAAAACGATAGAGAGGCAGCCAGTCCATATCAGAATTCCTAAGTCAAACAGATCAAAAGAGAAAAATGCAGGCCGGCACCGCGGCTCACTAGGCTAATCCTCCGCCTTGCGGCGCCAGCACACCGGGTTCTAGTCCCGGTTAGGGTGCCGGATTCTGTCCCGATTGCCCCTCTTCCAGGCCAACTCTCTGCTGTGGCCAGGGAGTGCAGTGGAGGATGGCCCAAGTGCTTGGGCCCTGCACCCCATGGGAGACCAGGATAAGTACCTGGCTCCTGCCATCGGATCAGCGCAGTGCGCTGGCCGCAGTGCGCCAGCCGCGGCGGCCATTGGAGGGTGAACCAATGGCAAAGGAAGACCTTTCTCTCTGTCTCTCTCTCTCACTATCCACTCTGCCTGTCAAAAAAAAAAGAGAGAGAGAGAAATGCAGACTATAATCAAATTCTTAAAAAAAAAAAAAAAAGCAAAACAGAGTTACAGAGAGAGAGCAAGTGAGAGAGAGAGGTCTTCCATCTACTGGTTCTCTCCCCAAAATGCCATAACGGCCGGAACTGCACTGATCCAAAGCCAGGAGCCAGAAGCCTCTTCCAGGTCTCTCACGTAGGTGCAGGGGCCCAAGGACTTGGGCCATCTTCTACTGCTTTCCCAGGCCATAGCAGAGAGCTGGATGGGAAGTAGAGCAGCCGGGACTCGAACCAGTGCCCATATGGGATGCCTGCACTGCAGGTGGCTTTACCCGCTATGCCACAGTGCCGACCCCTTTTTTTGTTGTTAATAAGTCCACGATTTATAGGAAAGACTTTATTTGGGGAGCTACAAGTAATCAAGACATTGTTTCAATGTCAAAATGTCATAGATCTTTCCCTTAGACTATAGGATATGATAATATTCATTTATAATGGAAATGGGACCAGATGTCAATTTTGCTTCCACCATCCAAATAGCTGAATGGTTGACAGAAATTTTCACTTTCTGGATAAATCATAGAGAGGTGTTTTTTTTTTAGAAGGAAAGAGCCACTGACTATTAAGATACATTTTTTTTTTTCAAGAAAAACTCAAAAGCCAACTCAAACTGGTTTAAACAAGAAAGAATTTTTGCTCCTGTGTGAGAACGCACCAGTCCGGGGAGGGGCTCCAGGCATGGTTTGGGGAAGGCTTTTACTTCATTTCTCTGCAGTTCTCAAATTCTCTCTCCTCTGCATGTCAACTTGGTTCTCGGGTCTCTTTCCTTCATGATGGCAAAATGGCCATAACTGTTCCTGCCCTCACATCCGTATGTAAGAGATGACGTCTGTTCCTTCAACCAGCACTAGGCTTTCCTGTACCCGAGCCAGTGAGATCACACGCCTTCTCTTGAACCAGACACTTAGCGAGGAGAAAAGGTTTATGCTGATGGGCCTGGGCCAGGCAGGACCCACTGGTGCTGAGGGTGAGGTCGACTCCATCCAAACCTCAGGAGACTATAGAGTGGGGGAGGAAAGAATGCCAGAGAAGCAGCCCTGAGACCTTAGACTCTCACCTGTTGTCATCTTTCCCCTTTAGCCACCGAGTTCTTTTATTTGTTTTTTAAGATTTATTTTATTAATTTGAAAGGCAAACACAGAGAGAGAGAGAGAGAGAGAGAGAGAGAGAGAGAGAGAGAAGAGGAGAGAGAGGATCTTCCCACCTACTGGTTCACTCCCCAGATGACCACACACCAGGGCTGGGCCAGGATGAAGCCAGGATCCAGGAACTTCATCGGGGTCTCCCATGTGGGTTTAGGGGCCCACACACTTGAGCCATCTTCTGCTGCTTTCCCAGTCACATCAGCAGGGAACTGGATGGGAAGTGGAGCAGCCAGGACTTGAACCAGTGCTCATACGGGATGCCAACTTAACTGCTTCACCACAGTGCCAGCCCCAAAGCCCTTCCTTTAAAGGAAACTTTCTCTTGATAGATTCGAACCAATTTAAATGTTACCCCTTGGGCTGGGATGCAGATGACAGAGCCCAGCTTGCTCGCTCCTTGGCCCCCTCCAGCTATGTCTGTCAAGCACAGTCTGAAACCCACTGGACTAACCCAGCCCCTTCATCCTGAAATGGAAACAAATCAAGGCCCAGAGAAGCGGAGTGACTTGGCCAAGGTCACCCAGCCAGTAGGTGGGAGAGCCGGGACTGGAGCTCCGATTTCCCGGCTTCTTGTCCAATACTGTCCTTAACACAGAATCTTAGGGTCTCTCTCTTTCCATCTCTTCCAACAGTACGTGAAAGCCAAGTGCTCCAGGACCAATCTGCCCCCGGACTATGCCCTTGAGCTCCTGACCATCTACGCCTGGGAAAACAGCACTGAGTTGGAGACCTTCAGGATGGAGGAGGGCCTCACCACAGTGATGGAGCTGCTGCGGGACGTCCGGTTCCTCTGCATCTACTGGACCAAGTACTACACGCTGCAGAATCCCGTCATCGAGGACTGCGTCAGGAAACAGCTCAAGGCGGACAGGTATCGTCGCCGCTCCCTCCCCGCCCCCCGCCCCAGCCAGTCTCGGGGAGCAGAAAGAACCAAGGAACAAGCAGACTAGTCCGTAACTTACAGAATTGCTGGGAGGAGCAGTACAGCTAATCCACATAGGAGTCAGTCCTGGGCTTCAATAAGTGATGCTGGTGGTGATGGTGGTGATAGTGGTGGTGGTGATGGTGGTGCTGATGGTGATGATAGTGATGGTGGTGGTGGTGATGATGGTGATGGTGATAGTGGTGGTGCTGATGGTGGTGGTGATGGTGATGATAGTGATGGTGGTGGCAATGGTGGTGCTGGTGGTGGTGATGGTGGTGATAGTGATGGTGCTGATGGTGGTGGTGCTGGTGGTGATAGTGATGGTGCTGATGGTGGTGGCAATGGTGGTGCTGGTAGTGATAGTGATGGTGCTGATGGTGGTGGCAATGGTGGTGATGGTGGTGGTGCTGATGGTCATAGTGATGGTGCTGATGGTGGTGGTGATGGTGATGGTGATGGTGGTGGCAATGGTGGTGCTGGTGGTGATGATGGTGATGGTGATAGTGATGGTGCTGATGGTGGTGGTACTGGTGGTATTAGTGATGGTGGTGCTGGTGGTGATGGTGCTGATGGTGGTGGCGATGGTGGTGGTGGTACTGGTGGTATTAGTGATGGTGCTGATGGTGGTGGCAATGGTGGTGATGGTGGTGATGGTGCTGATGGTGATAGTGATGGTGCTGATGGTGGTGGTGATGGTGGTGTTGGTGGTGATGGTGCTGATGGTACTGGTGGTATTAGTGATGGTGGTGCTGCTGGTGATGGTGGTGCTGGTGGTGATAGTGATGGTGCTGATGGTGGTGGTGGTGATGATAGTGATGGTGCTGTTGGTAGTGGTGCTGGTGGTGATAGCGGCAGTGGTGGTGCTGGTGGCAGTGGTGGTATTGGTGGTGACAGTGCTGGTGGTGCTGGTGGTGATGATGGTGGTGCTGGTGGTGATGGTGCTGATGGTGGTGATGGTGATGGTGCTGATGGTGGTCATGGTGCTGATGGTGGTGATAGTGATGGTGGTGATGGTGGTGGTGGTGGTGGTGCTGGTGCTAGTGAGGTGGTGGTGGTAGTGGCAGTGGTGGTGGTGATGGTGGTAGTGCTGGTGGTGGTGCTGGTGGTGATGGTGATGGTGGTGATGGTGGTAGTGCTGGTGCTGTTGTTAACCATGACCCAGAGCAATGCCGTAGGGCCTTGCAGTGATGATGGCCGGCAAGGCCCCCACAGCACCACAGCAGAAGGAGCTGAGCACCGTCTTCCTGTGTTGCAGGCCCATCATCCTGGACCCGGCTGACCCCACCCTCAACGTGGCAGCTGGCTACAGATGGGACATTGTGGCCCAGCGGGCCTGCCAGTGCCTGAAACAGGACTGCTGCTATGACAGCAGGGAGAACCCGGTCCCCAGCTGGAACGTGAAGGTAACCAGGCTCCCCTGCAGGCTGTCAGGGGCTGGCGCTCAGAATGAGATACCTGCACCCGACTTCCAGGGTTCACTCTTGTGGCCATGAGCAGAGGGCTTTAGGGTCAGGCAGGTCGAGGGCAATGCCTGGGTCCCCTGATGGAGCCCCAAGTTCCTTACCTTTGTATTCTCAGTCTCCTTTCCTTTCACCTGTGACCTCCTGGGAAATCAGTTCCGGGCTCCTTATCGTTCTTTGCTCCACCACCACCTGTTTGGTGCCAGCCTGGGTGTGGCTGATGGGCGTTGGGGACCAAGGGACAAGAATGGTACAGAAATAGGACACGGCCCTGACACACACACACCCAGGGCCCCACCCACGCTGCTGGGAAGAAAGTCCATGAAACAAAGTTGCACCAAACTTCTAGAAACAATTACTGGCGAGTAGCTGCAGTGTTCTGTACAGCAGGATGACTGCAGCGTACAAAGGGCTATGATTTGTCTTATGACGAACTAGGGAAAGCAGTTCAGAGAGTCCCAACACAAAAACAAATGATAAACGTTTAAGGAGCTGGATAAGCTAATTAATCCTGGCTTAATCATTGCACAGCATTCCCATGCATTGAATTACGATCCCAGACCCCATAACGGTGTACCATTCTTATGTTTACTTTGAAAATTAAAAAAAAAAAAAAAAAAAACAGGTAAGATACAGAAAAAAGTGCTAAGTCAGCCGGCGTGGCTCACTAAGCTAATCCTCCACCTGCGGCGCCGGCACCTGGGGTTCTAGTCCCAGTTGGGGCACCAGTTCTGTCCGGTTGCTCCTCTTCCAGTCCAGCTCTCTGCTGTGGCCCGGGAGTGCAGTGGAGGTTGGCCCAGGTGGTTGGGCCCTGCACCTGCATGGGAGACCAGGAGAAGCACCTGGCTCCTGGCTTCAGATCAGCACAGCACGCCGGCCGTAGTGGCCATTTGGGGAGTGAACCAACAGAAGGAAGACCTTTCTCTCTGTCTCTGTCTCTCTCTCTCTCTGTCTAACTCTGCCTGTCCAAAAAAAAAAAAGTGCTAAGTCATATTATTATGTGATGCCAAATTTGTGCTATAGGCAAAAATCACAGCCATCTATTTCTCTTTTTTTTTTAAATATTCAATTATTTATTTGAAAGTCAGAGTCACAGAGAGAGGACCTGCATCTGCTGGTTCACTCCCTAAAACGCCACAATGTCTAGAGCTGGGCCAAGCCGAAGTCAGGAGCCAGGAGCTTCTCCCAGATCTCCCATGTGGGTGCAGGGGCCCAAGCACTTGAGCCATTTTCCACTGCTTTCCCAGGTGCATTAGCAGGGAGCTGGATCAGAAGTGAAGCAGCCGGGACTTGACCCGGTGCCCATACAGGGATGCTGGTGCTGCAGGTGGCAGCTTTACTAGTCATTTCTATTCTCCATTTCATTCACATCATACTTGACAATCCGCACAGCGCCTGTCCTGGGACAGACTCAGGTCATCACCACGGCAGCTCTGTGACGTAGAAGACCTCCTATTATTGTTATCTTTGTGGCTGTTGTGGTTATTGCCTCTGATGCCCTTTTACAGGTGACAGAAGTGGGGCTCAGAGAGGTTAATTAACCAAGGTCAAAGTCCCACCACTCGGAAGCAGCAGAGCCAAGGTTCACTCAGACCCAGGGCTCTGTGGGACGCTGGAAATAAAGAACCAATGCTTTCTGAAATCACAAAGGAAACCCCTGGAGGAAGTTAGGGCTGGAGCTGAAGCCCAAAAGCCAGGGAGCCATGGATGTGGGTGCTTAGAGACCACGCCAGGTCAAGGGCCAGGTTGGGGGGAGAGTAAGCAAGGTGTGTACTAGGGCAGAAGGCGGAGCCACAAGTGCAGGCTGCATCATAAGGTATGGAGATTATAGCTGGGGGTGGGACACCCACCAAATGAGACCCACAGAAGGGCTGAAGACGCCTCTCTCTGGGTTGTTCCCGAATAGCAAAGCCATTGTGCAAAGACCTCCCTCCTGCACAGTTAGGAGCCGTGGCAAGGCCAGGCTTGTATGTCTTCCCCTGCATCTCCCGGGAGTTGTTGTGCGGCCCCCTGGGGAGGTTCCCAGAGGAACTCAGAGCTCAGTGCACCTGCTCCGCTCCTTTCTGCCCTGGGTGATGCAATCAGGCGATGTTTAACCCTACTCAACCACAGTGCCCTGGAGTATAAAACGGGGCTCATAGAACCAACTCCATAGCACCGGAAGCCGCCGCTTGGGACGCCCACAGCCTGTATCAGAGCACCTGGGTTCGAGTCCCAGCTCTGCTGTTAATTCCCGCTTCCTGCTCATGTGCACTCTGGGAAGGTGGTAGAGGCTCAAGTACTTGGGTCCCTGCCCACCCACGTGGGAGACCCAGATAAAGTTCCTGGCTCCTGGCATCAGCCTTACCCAGTCTCGGCTGCTGTGGGCAATTAGGGAGTAAACCAGTGGATGGGAGATCTCTCTGTCTCTCTCTGTCTGTCTCTCTCTCTCTGTCTCTACCATTTCAATGAATACATCAATAGAACATGTGTTAGAAAGAATGCACCATGGTGAGGGCAGGGGAGGTGCCCAGTGTGGAGGCTGCACAGCGTTCAAGGCTCCCTAAGCGAGCGTGGGGGCTGCTGAGATGAGGGTGTGGAGGGGCACACCCACTGAGAAGTGCGGCCCTCCCTTCCTCTCCCCTCCCTCTCCCCTCCCCATCCCCCTCCCCGCAGTGTGCCCAGGACATCCAGGTGACGGTGGAGCAGCAGGGCTACTCAGATCTGATCCTCTGGGTGAACCCGTACGAGCCCATCAAGAAGGTCAAGGAGAGAATCCGCCGGAGCCGAGGCTGCTCGGGCCTGCCCCGCCTCTCCTTCCAGGAGCGCGGCAGCGAGCGGCAGCTGCTCAGCAGCCACTGCTCTTTGGCCTACTATGGAATCTTCTGCGACACCCGCGTGTGCCTGCTGGAGACCTTCTCCCCCGAGATCCAGGTCTTCGTGAAGAGCCCGGATGGGGACAGCCAGGCCTACGCGGTCCACCCCAAAAGCTTCGTGCTCAGCCTCAAGCAGCAGATCGAGGACAAACAAGGGTTTCCGAGCAGCCAGCAGCAGCTGGAGTACCAGGGCCAAGTGCTGCAGGACTGGGTGGATCTGGGGCACTACGGCATCCAAGACAGCGACACCCTCACCCTCTGCAAGAAGAGAGGGCGAGAGGCTGCACTCCTGCCCTGCTAGCCGCTTTTGGGAGCTCTCTGTGCATTGCCGCCCTGTGATGCACCACGCCTTCCCGCTCTCTGCCCAGGAGGCACCGTGTTTTCACGCCTGCTAGGAGAACGCGGGAGAGGCCGGAGACGCTGCACCTGCAAACAGAGCACGCCAGACCCTCTGTGACGACAGAATCCTGATCCACACACTTCAGCAGCCACAACCTCGGCAGCAAACTCCACTAGGACCTGGTCAAGACCTTCCAGCTTCTCTGTTTCCCTACCCTACTTTCTTCCCACTGAGGGTCAGCCAAAGACCAGTTAGCTTCCCAAACCAGTCATGAGGATGCCCTGTGGTCTGGGGAGAGGCCCTGCATCCTGCCCACACCAACAAACTCCAACAAGGCAACCCGAAGCCCCCCAGCCCCCTGCCTGCCTCTCAGTCTTGGCCAAAGGCAAGGGCTGGTGGCTGCTCCGTGGTTCTCCCGAGTCAGGAATAAACAGCCTTGGTTCTCACTCGGTGCTCTTTGTTTTACTTCGACATGGGTAAATGCTCCATCATCTGAGGCTTTCGGCTGCAAAGCGAGGCTGGGATGAGAAGATGCGAAGTCTTGGAGTTTGCGTATAATGCAGTACCAAAAATTTCCCTCGACTCCAGAGCCCCAAGCACACACAGTACCTGACAGTCCAGAGATATTAGGAGAAAAGCAGCATCTTCCTTATCCAAAGGGGAGATCACGTGATCAGATTTATTCCAACCAATAAACAGTTTCCTTTAACCCCATTTTTTTTTTAAGATTTTTATGTTCATTTCTTTGAAAGATGGAGTGACAGTGGAGGGGAGAAATAGAGAGAGATATCTTCCATCCCCTGGTTCACTCCTCAAATGGCCACAAGAGCTGGGTCTGGGCCAGGGTGAAGCCAGGAGCTTGGAGCTCCATCCGGGTCTCCCACTTGGGTGGCAGGGGCCATCCTCCACTGCCTCCCCAGGTGCATTAAACAGGGAGCTGGATAGGACGGGCACAGCCAGGACTTGAAACAGCACTCCAACATGGGATGCTGGCGTTGCACGTGGTGGCTTAACCCGCTGCACCACAACACCAGCCCACATTACTCTCTCACAGAGCACACTTTCTAACCGGTCCTCACAGCCGCTGGGCAGTCTCACGGCAGTGTTCTGTGCATCTCCCCCTTCTTTTTGTCATCAGCACTGAGTGTCTTCTTTTTACGGGGGCAGACTGGCTAGACCAGCCCCCATCTTTGTACCCGGGTCGCCTCCATAAGAGTGCAGCCATCCACTCAGCCCCAGATCTTAATACCATCACCTGGAAGCTTAGGATTCCGACGACACGTGAACCTGGGGTGGGATGGGGAGTGGGACACAAACGTTCAGAGCAGAACTGTCATCTTCCCAGGTGTTTTCATTTATTTATCTATTTGGAATAGAGAAGGTCAAGGCCACTGAGCTCATTTTAATGAAGTTTCTGCTACACTCATTTGCAAAGATAAAACACAAAGTGTCCCAAGACCGGTGGAAGGGACTGTATCCTTCCCTGTGGAATGTCTCAGCCTCAGAGATTCTAATGCGTTGGTCTTCGGTAGGTCCTGGCAATCAGTATTCTTTTAAGTTACCTGACTACTTCCAACGTGCAGGCAGAGTTGAGAAGTCCTGGGCTTAGATCCACTGTGGGTGCCAGCTGCACCCGAGCCTCCTGAGCCAGTGGCTCCCACCTTCAAGGTGCACACACATCAGAGATGAAGATCACAGCTTTGTGGTGGAACCCAAGATTGCGCAGCATGTGTAGCAAACTCCCGGGGGTTACCAGTGCTGCTGGGTCATGGGCTACAGCATGAAGAGTAAGGCCGCAGGGTGGAGAGGAAATACAGATCCTGGGCCCCGCCTTCAGAGACTCTGATTCAGCTTGTTTGCAGTGACACAAAAGTCCACAGTTCAACAAGCCCCTGAAGGTGTTCCTGGTGCCCGGCTGGGTTTGGGAATTACTGGAATAAATGAGTAGATATGGGATCAAAACTTGGAAATTGGTGGCCGGCGCAGCAGCTCGCTAGGCTAATCCTCTGCCTGCGGCGCCGGCACTCCAGGTTCTAGTCACGGTTGGGGTGCCGGTTCTGTTCTGGTTGCTCCTCTTCCAGGCCAGCTCTCTGCTGTGGCCCGGGAGTGCAGTGGAGGATGGTCCAAGTGCTTGGGACCTGCACCTGCATGGGAGACCAAGAGGAAGCACCTGGCTCCTGGCATCGGATCAGCGCAGCACACCGGCCGTGGCAGCCATTGAGCGGGAAAGGAAGCCTTTGTCCTGTCTCTCTCTGTCATTGTCACTCTGCTGGCAATAGGAAGAAAAAAATGGGCTGGTAAAAAAAAAAAATTTTTTTTTTTTTTTTTTTTTTTTTTCTTTTTTGACAGGCAGAGTTGACTGTGGGAGAGAGAGCTGAGAGAAAGGTCTTCCTTTTGGCGGTTGGTTCACCCTCCAATGGCTGCCGCGGCCGGCGCGCTGCGGCCGGCGCACCGCGCTGATCCGATGGCAGGAGCCAGGAGCCAGGTGCTTTTCCTGGTCTCCCATGGGGTGCAGGGCCCAAGCACCTGGGCCATCCTCCACTGCACTCCCTGGCCACAGCAGAGGGCTGGCCTGGAAGAGGGGCAACCGGGACAGAATCCGGCGCCCCGACCGGGACTAGAACCCGGTGTGCCGGCGCCGCTAGGCGGAGGACTAGCCTATTGAGCCGCGGCGCCGGCCCAATTTTTTTTTAATTAAAAAAAAAAAAAACTAGAAATTGGGGCGGGACTTGGCCTAGACACTGAAATGCCTGTATTCTACACTGGAGAGCCTGACTTTGATTTAAAAAAAAAAAAAATGTTGGCGAAATGAATCTTTTAGCCTCTTCTGGAGCTTAAGTTCGAGGACCACTCCCTTTGGCCCTTTCATAGTCCCACGGCTCTGAGAACTACAATCCCCACAATGCCCTGCGCGCCGCCTCATTGGGTTGCGCAGGAAAACGGTTAAATCATGCGTCTCCCACAATCGCTTGCGGCGTTTCAAGATGGCGGCGCGCAGTGGCGCCACGAGCGACTCGGAGAGTAGCAGCAGCAGCGATGCAGAGGAGCTGGCTCGGTGCCGCGAGGCGGCGATGCCGGCCTGGGGCTTGGAGCAGCGCCCGCGGGGGGCGGAGAAACCAAGAGCCGGTAGGAGAGTGTGTTCGGGAAGGCCGCCGAAGGGCGTGGGTTCTTCTCCGGGGGTCGGAGAGGATGGGTGGTGAGAAGGGAGGCCCCGGGACTCGCTTTCCTTCCCCAGGAAAGCTCCGGGGACATCGGGGCTCTGGGTCAGAGCTCAGGCAAGCAGTTGCGCCGTTATCGCAGTCGAGAAGCCAGGCACCCCTGAATCCCTGCCGGGGGGCGGCAGCCCCGTGTCTGCGCTCCCTGATCCCGCTGTGCCCGCCTCCTGCGCGCTCTGCGCCCGCCGCGCCTGACCCTGACCCTGACCCTGACCTCTTGCTGCCTTGAGACTAAATCCCAACGCCGAGGCGCCCGTTCGTGGCTAGAATCCAGCCGGGCCCTGAATTTGGAGCGGGAAGAATACCGATTCTCTGCTTTGATTAACCCCGAAGCGGAACTTAACGTCGGCTTCTGTCCTGCATGTCAGCAGCAAGCCACACACCGGTTCCTGTCCCAGCAGAAGGTCCAGGCGTTCGTGTCCCTGACAGCCCTCGCAGATGTACCGCAGGGTCGCTCTACAGATGGGGCGCGGGGCGCTGTGTGATCCTGGATGTGGGTGTCCACGGTGCTCGCTTCAGGGCAAGCCCACACGCTCGAACGTGTATCGTCTCTTGTTGAAAACGTTCAAAATCTTCTCTCCCAGCTTTTCAGTAACTACATACGCAGTGCGTTACCGGCACCTGTAAGCACCCTGCTGCACAGTAGGATCCTGGGATTTCTTGAACCTTTTTTTTTTTTTTTTTTTTTTTGACAGGCAGAGTGGACAATGAGAGAGAGAGACAGAGAGAAAGGTCTTCCTTTGCCGTTGGTTCACCCTCCAATGGCCGGCGCACCACGCTGACCCGATGGCAGGAGCCAGGTGCTTCTCCTGGTCTCCCATGGGGTGCAGGGCCCAAGCACTTGGGCCATCCTCCACTGCACTCCCGGGCCACAGCAGAGAGCTGGCCTGGAAGAGGGGCAACTGGGACAGAATCCGGCGCCCCGACCGGGACTAGAACCTGGTGTGCCGGCACCACAAGGCGGAAGATTAGCCTAGTGAGCCGCGGCGCCGGCTTTTCTTGAACCTTTCTCCTCCTTCCCTGCCCACTGCTTCCCCATCCTGCGGTAACCGGGTTTTCTCTTGGCTTCGATGAGAGCTGGTTGTTTGTTTTTTGGTTTTTTGGGTTTTTTTTTGTTTTGTTTTGCAGTCCTTGTCTCTCTCTGGCTGGCGGGTTTCACTGGTTGTAAAGACCCCCAAGTTGTCGCAAGGGACAGGATCCCATCCCCTTGTGTGCATGGATAGGCTCCGTTCCGTTTGCTGTTTTCCTTATCCGTGAACACTTAGATTGTTTCTGCTCCCCGGCCGTTGTAAATAGCGCTGCAGTAAACGCGGCGGTGAGGACGTCTCTTTGGAAGACTGGTTTTATCTCCTTGAGACGCAGACAGCGGGACTGCTGCATTGTGTTTTCCATTTTCTGATCACCTCTCATTGCTTTTCACAGCGACCTTCCTAATATCCCTTTTCTCCACCTCCTCGCCAGCTCTTGTTACCTTGTGATTTTGATTTGCACTTCATTTTTTGTTCTTTGTTTTTCTTTTAAAGATTTATTTTATTTGAAAGGCAGAGTTACAGAGAGAGAGAGATCTTCCATCCACTGGTTCATTCCCCCAAGTGACTGCAAAGGCCAGGGCTGGGCCAGGCCAAAGCCAGGAGCCTGAATCTCCATCTGAGTCTCCCATGTGGGTGGCTGGGACCCAAGCACTTGGGCCACTTCCCCTGCTCTCCCAGGTGCATCAGCAAGGAGCCGGATCAGAAGTGGAGCAGCCGGGACTCGAACCAGTGTCCGTATGGGAAACAGACATCGCAGGGTGGCGGCTCACCAGGCTCCTGCATTTCTTGTTGATTATGGTGTTGAGCATTTTATCATATGCCAGTACAGGTGCATTAACACCGTACAAAACGTAACACCGTACAGGTGTACCTGTTACCGACCGGACAGGGCCTGGCTCCCAGACTCATACAAACATTTAAACTAACAGTGAATGGCTCACTGCTGGTCGCTGATGGGTTAGGGTGGAATCTCTGATGGTGGTAGCTAGGAGACAGGCCCAGAGAGAACTCTTTGGGCCATAGTGGGCTGCCCTGGGAAGGTAGTTCTCATGGGAGGGTTGGCTGTTAAGACAAATTCAGCCTAGCTTCTCCCTCCGCTTCCTGGCCCACCGTGTGATAGTTCCTGTGGCCTCCGAACTACAAGCTGAGATAAACCTTTTCCTTCCCAAGAGTTTGTCTCCACTGTCAAGCAGTAAAAGC